TCCCAAACTTCCTGTTTGCCCATGAGGCCGTTTTTGGCACCCTGGGGGTTTCAGGGAAACTTCTGAAGCCTCCGGAGGGCCTCGAAGGGGTGGGGGAGGCTCTTTTCACCCTTCCCAGGCTCCTATAAAGCCCCTAGAGCATGGGGAGGGCGAAAAATGGCTTTTAAAAAGGCTGAACTCAGCTGACAAGACAATGCCTCGTGTGCCCTGACAAATGGCTCCGCGTGCCATAGGTTCGCTATCCTGGTGCTAGGATATTGTGAACAAATAACAGTGCAGGAATACAGCAGCTTTAAAGACTTTAAAATGAAGCTAAAGGGAGTAAACCTAGGATAAGATAAATGTAGGCAGTGTTTAACCCGGGGGAAGAAATATGTTACCATTGTTTTGAAGATTAATTAAATAGGCATAGAGTTTAATTAAGTGCTCTCCTATAAAACAAAAAGCAAGGTTTCTGTTACAATGACCACCCTGGCCAGAACCCTGTAAACATATCACCTAATTTGCTAGTTTAGGCCAGCTAAGTAAGCTCACCAACTGCAAAATAAAGAATAACAATAAGAAACCCATCCTAAGTAAACGCATTCTAAATAAAATGGCATTTACAACAGTGTGCAATATTAGTTTTCAGAGACCTCATGAATACTATCAGCATGAAACTTACCTTAAAGATTTCTGCATTTGCCAAATATAGAAATCCTAGCTTTTGATACTGCATACTCTTATCTCTGAAATATTTGAAATGTCCTCCAAATTAAACTGTTGTTATATGCAAGTTGTACTAATTAGTTCACTTCAGCTCATTTAAGAATCTCAACCTAATAAAAATGGAAGCAACCTAAGAGCCAGTGTTAAATTACTTTGGAATCTCTGGTACATTAAACAGAGGGGCAATAATTTCCAATTTCAACAACACACATCTGCAAAATTACTATCAGCTTTCGTTGGCCCCTGCATAGACTAAGATGGAAATTATCTTAACGGAAATGAATGAAGTGTGAGATTTTATCCTCGTAATTTGTTTCTCTGACCCACATGAAAATAATGTCACATTTTTAGATTGTCTAGCCAAGATAAGGCATACAGGAAAGACCACATATCAGAGCATGTTTGTTAAGAATTTAACGAATAAAATTTTATTACACATTACAGAGCAATAATGAAACTGTAAGTTCCAATAGGCTTTGATTTCTATTGGAAGAACTCTACTTGCAATAATTTTCTGAAGTCTCTTCACTCCAGGAATTGACAACTGTCAAGTACTTCATGGCTTATTCTCTGGAAGATGTTTTAAAAGCGCCCATGCTACATCTCTAAAAAAGTCAACCATCAGCCACTTCAGATATCATTTTCTCTAGCTTGCCCAATAACAAGCGAGATTGTGCTAGTTCTGATTCTAGCTCCTGCTCTATTGTGTTGGACTATATAACAAAAAATTTCCCCAAAGCCTTATACGTGGCTACATAAGGAATCATAATTTGTGAAGGCTGAGTCCAGGATGGCCAAGTGAGTGCACAGAAATCACCTCAAGGTGTTTTTTTAAAAAAAATCTTATCTACAGCCTTCAAATTGCCAATAAACATTGAAGTCAACCTTTATCAGCGTAAAGTGCTAAAAAATTTAAATAGCTAATTTTGTTAAATATGAAATAAAAGATTACCACTGCCAGATTTAAGCCTACGGATTTAATGAACAATGCTTGAGTTAAAAATACTGCTAACATGAAAATAATCTGAAGTGACAAGGAAAATTATGGGATGGGGATACATTCTGCAAGGGTTTTTGTGATCTTACACACAAAAATACTTGAAGTTGATATTAAAAGTCAAGAATATTACATATTTAATATCAGTTTATTCAAATTTTAAATGGAGACACTATAAATTATTCTGGTCACTGTAGAATTAAAAACCCATCACTATGAATAGCTTTCAAAAAAGGTGAAAATATATTCTGTTTATTGACATCTATCAGTTAACTATTTGAAATTCAGCTGTCCAAAATGTCACACTAGATCAAATTACAGCCTAGGTAAACTATATTCCTGAATGCCCTTGCAACTTTACCCTCAGTAATTTAGATTTGTTTCAATTATGTTCATATAAAAATACTTTTGAAAATATAAGAAACCTAACACTGACACTTTGGATACACAACACATCTCTGGCTGAAAGGCAACTGTATTTCAAAAGGACTTCACCTAGGCCAGACACTTCAAATTGTTCAGAAATACGGCATGCAGTATCCAAAAGTATGGCTCTGAGGAAATAATTTTTACATTAAGCGTAAAGATTGTTTATATTCAACATTCACTTATGTTTTGAGAAAAAAAACTACCTATTCAAGTTCTATTTCTTTGATGCAGCATTAAGGATTAAAACTTACCACTTTACCAGGCCTTGCCCATGTGCAAATAAATCCCTCCTGACAAGCAGTGACTATACAGTCTTCAAGAAAAATTAACACAGTCAGTCTTTCATGTGCTATCTTTTTACAGATAAGAGGCTCTAACAAAGGAACATCTTCCATTCTGGGGCACAGAGGCGTTCCCAAAGTTTTTGCTGGGTCTGTTTTGGTTTTAGTAACTAGATTCAGTTTGTCACTGCTCTTACTAGATATATGTCCCATACTATGATTTCGCTTATGATCTTTTTCATGGTGTTTTTCCTTCCGGTCATGTAATGATAAGGTTGCAAATTTACTAACACCAGAGGCAATGGCACCATCCATGACACTGCTTTTGCTGCCAGAATTGGAAACTGCAGAATGTGGAAGGCTATTGGAACGTGGAAGAGGAGGTGGTACAGAGTTTCCAGGTGTTGTGATGCTATTCCCATTACTTCCTGGGTTAGCTCCACCACTTCCTGTGGGGGGACTTGTGGCAGTCATGACATTTGTATGTGTCCTTGCTCTTGAGAGGGGCTGGTGTGGGAAGAGGATGTCTTCTGTTAGGTCCCATAAACATAGTTGTGTGTCCTGACCTACTGAGCCAAACCTGTACGTTACACTTACTGGGCGACTCTCTGTAGAGTTCCTTTTTGATAATCTTGACTGCGTGCTATTTGCTCGATCTCGTCCAAAATGGAGGAGGTCTTGGAAGTCCTCGTCGCTGCCGCTGAATTCTATGGGATCATTTTCTTCTACACTGGTTGTATATGGATCAAAGGCCACAACACTGACCCATGATTTGTGCCCATGGCCTCTAGCTATCACTCGACAGTCCACAAAAGACCAGACAGTCACCAAATCATCTTCTCCACCTGTTACAATATATTTTCCATCTGGGCTCCAACATGCACACAGCAGTCCTCCAAAGTAGCTTTTCATTGTACCATGCAATTCAACTGAATCAAAGTTAAATACACGAAGAAAGCCATCCTGACTTACACATGCCAAGAATTTTCCATCTGGAGAAAAACCAAATTCATTTAGGGCACCTTCACCTACTGTCCATTTAAGTAAAGGATTTCGTGTAGATTTACTTTTGCACGTATGGACTGCAAAACTTTCTCCTTGTTTAAGTAGCTGATAGTGTGGAGCTGTGGTACCACAGTTGTGTTCCACATTATATAAGTACATATTGCCACTGGAATGAGCTACTAGGAAGAGACTTTCTGAACCAGGCACCCATTTTACACAAGTTACTCTGGACTTGTCTATTAGTCTCTGAAAAACAAAAGAAAAATATAGTTATAACAGTTCTGCATTGTACATATAATATTAATTCTTTGTCAAAAGCACATATTTCTTCTTGAAGACAACATTATGACTTTGAATGGTATTGAACTTAAGTTAAAAGAATATCTTTCTTATAAATATAAAATAAGAATATAATAAACAGCCAGATTTTTAGTATAAAACCAGACTCAGAAAATTACACATATTCCAAAGAAAAAATACTAATCTACTAAATTCTGACTTAGATGTAGGGGTATTTTTATCTGAAATGGGATTTTAGACATTCAAAGCCTCTCTCGCCTCCTCTCCCCCTCCCTTGATTTTGAACCTATGTACTAGATTTTCTAATATTTCTAAACTATTATAGTATTCAATTCATTATTCATTTCAAGCCATAAAGTGTTAACAATTTTAAAGGCAGCTAAAAATAAGAAAATTGCTTCTTTCTCCAAAACAATACCATATGGTTGTAACTGGGATATAAATGTCATACCTGTATTCTGAAGCTCTTAACAAAAAGGTGTCATAGTGGACAACCCATCAGAATGCTTGTATCTACTTATAAAAGCTAAATAAGTTTATACCTGTCCTCTGAAAGCAACAAAGCCTTCTTCATGGAAAAAAAATCCCAAAATTCACTGAAGCAATGCTCTGAAGTTGTACAAAATTACAATATTTCCTAACACTTGAGCTTTAAGATCTCTTTATCAAGTAAGATAACTGAAGAATAAAGTGATGAATTAATTAAAATTAGAAATAAAGAATTGGAAAACATATCCTTGTGCTATTTTCTCACCAGTTAAGATAAAATTTTTTAATTATAATAAAAAATCTGTAACTCTGCTCATTATACCTAAGGATGTAAATTAATATAATTACGGTTCCAAAATCATCCACCCATCATTTTAATTTTAACCAACTTCCCTTATGAAAAGGTTTCGAAATTAAAAATCCAGAAATGATTTCATATAACTTTAAACTGGCCTCAATAAAAGTACTGCCTCAATGCATTTAGAATTATTCAAGTTATGATATGCTTGAATTAAATTATATAGCTGTTGTAATATTTAGGGAAGCATGAAATAAAATAATTCCATCTCAGCATTTTTTTCTCCATTATTTTTGATTTAGAATAGACAGCATGAGAGTGTTGTGTTTTATTGTACAACTGGAGCTAAATGGGCTTATTTATAGATGAGTAAATAGGTGGCAAAATGCTAGTTTCTCCTCATCAGGAGCTACAATTGTTGGTAATGATTGTGAATTAAAGGAAAAGCTGTACCAAAACCTTTGGGAAGGATAGTCTTGAATTATAATCCAGCAGATAAACTAATATGCAAACTGCAAAGGTGCCTGCTATAAATTGTTATGAATAAAAGATCAAAACCAATGAATAGGTAAATGGTGATAGAGGGGAGAAGAAGGTGTTTAAACAAAATTGTATGGGGTTTTGTGCTATGAAAGCTAGCATAACTTGTAATTTCTCAGAAAACGTACATTGACTTTCATCCTTTCAATTTCTATGGTGCTTTTTTATAGAATGAAAAAAATTGATTGTTTTAGTTGTTCACAATTTTGAGAAAAAAGTACCATCTTGGATTCCAATCTCACTGAAAGATAATTTCCTGCCTATATATAAGATATATTTCCTATTATTTCCTCTAAAAAGCTTCCTAAGGAACAAAAAAACAACAACCCCCAAACCAAAATCTTTCCTCTATCCTTTCCTTTTACAAAACTATGAGAGATGAATTTCCCTTCTCTTCTCCTCTCACTGCAACCATCCTCTCCCAGTTTATACCCTATCAGCTTTGGTGGATTTGTAATAACTGAGAAATAGTTTGGATGAGAAGAATTGTCTGTCAACAGATTACCTTTCACTGACAGGATGCCATAGCTGAACAACAATGTAATAGCCTAAACCTACCCTGTCTAAACAAATGTATATGAAAAACATTGTTCATACAAGGCTCATTTTGTATAGCATTAAAACAAGCAAAACACGTTCCTAAAAACACTTATTCATGTAAACTTTCTGCACATATCTATTTTATTACTATTTAGTCTGCAATAGGTTTCTAACCATGTTTATAAACTATCTTAGCAAATTCAATGAAGCATATGGAATGCTAATTAAAACTGGGGAACAATACAGCTTCAAGACAGAGGAATAATTGTCACTGGTATAAAACTGACTACAATCAAAGTGCAGTATACCTCTATTTACCTTAGCATAGTACTCTTGCATTACTCATTGTAAGAATAGGAAGTTGGGGGAATGGCTGGAAGAAAAAGCCAATATATCCATTTTTCAATAGTACTATAAATATACATTGTCATATTCAATATTCACCAGGGCAAATTGTTTCCAAGTAAAAAATAATTATGCCATACATGAAGAAAATGTTATAAAAATGCAAGCACATTTCCATGCACCAAGATTAACATTCACTTACTTCTTCGTTAAATAACTTGCTAGTTTCTTTTTTAATAGGATCTATTAGCTGCACCTGTCCTGCAGAGAAGCCCACTAGAAGAGAAACACTTTCTGCTGTGGCTGTTAAGTGATTGAAGTCATGACATGTAGGTTGCGTTCCTTTGTATATTCTTTTATCTATTGGTTTACTCAAATCAGCAGCCTGCAAGAAAGATTGAAATTGAGATTAGCAATGGTTAATACCTCAGCCTAAAATGCTAGCTCTTGGCTCTTGACTAAGAAAATAAGCAAATCAACTATTTATAGCAACCAAGGTAAATTTAAAAAGCAGAACTTTTTAAGAAATCAGCATTGTCCTTATTCAATCATGTGTTAAGATTTGCCAAATTTTTATATAATTAGGGATTACTGTTTTCTTAACTTTCATCGGGGAGTTGATGTATTTATGTAACAAATTGTTAATAGTCATGTTCTTAATTAAAGTTCATACTATCTGCATTTTGCAGATGAAACACATATTCATAAAAATATGTACACAGATTATACATATAAAGTACAAGAGGTGACTATTCTTTATAGTATTTTTCACTACAAATACAAACAATGAACTACCACACCTTTATAAGCATTTGTCACTGAATCTAGATGACAAATGTAATTCCTGGCAGAGATCAGGTTTGATTAACCAATTAAAGCAAACATTTCAAAAACTAATTAAATCTCTGTAGTGAGTGGGGCATCAGTAAACTTCCCACTATGGCAGATGCATTGGAACAGATTCTCAATGATTACGGTGCAGAAAGAATATTTTGGATATAGGAGATGCAACCCTCAGTATCCACTATAAATCTTCTAAATTTCACACTCTTGTACTAGTTTTATTTTTAAAACATAATGATACATCTTAACTCCATATTGGCAGTTTAATATATATAAATGTATATGTGATTCTACCCTTGTTTAAGGAAAGAGGAAGGATGAAGAAAGAATTTATAGGTGAACTTCTAAGGGCTATGTGGATAGCTACAAAGTCTAGGAAAGCATACACTAAATACTGAATGTAAGAAGCATTGGGGCAAATCCAAGTATGCTCTCAAATGTTAGTCTAAGTTAGAATGGGTCTCTTCATTAAGCAAAAGGAATGTGCACATAAAAGCCACAATCAGCTCAGATAAAGATTCTAGATCATAGGTATCAAACTCGGGCCAACACATTGTCATGTGATGTATTGCAACTTTTTCTCCCTGTTATAATGGGGTGGAGCAGCCAATCAGACTGGAATTTTATGGGGAGGAGCATATAAATGGTTCATCTTCACATCAATACTAATTTTAAAGTGAAACTCAATTGAAACATTAAAGAAATATGGAGCAAAACAATGCACTGATGATAAAGCACACCTACAAATATTAAACATTCACAAAACTAGTACAAGATTCAATTACAAGATAAATATTTGGATTCAAGTATTATTTCTAAGATTGGAGTTAGTTGTTCATTATTTAAAAATGCAAAACAATTTTCAACAAACTAATGCCAAATTGCTGAAATCAAGGACAAAACAAACAATACTGAACTACTGTTGTTATTGCTACTTCCTTAGTATTTCACATGAAAATTCTTTGTAATATCAGAACATTTGAAAATCTTAAATTATAAATATGTGAAGTATCTATCAAGAAATATTTACTGCAATAGTACCAGTAGTCCTCAAACAACTATAGTAATTGGGACCAAGAATTCTATTGCTAAGAGAAGCAGGTATAAAGCAAAATACCTCCAATGTCACTTCCAACGCTGTTATCCTATTATGTGACTGTGCCAACTTACTATGTTAATTCCATTTGCTGTCATTAGTCAAATCCTGTGCAGTGCTTAAACCTGTCGCATGCTCGCCATTTGCAAACCACAGACTTTGCTTATCAGAAACCAGAAAATGAAGGTCACAAATGGTGAGACCATCACCACATGAAATTGCGACTATTGTTATTGTAAACTGGCTGACAAGCTCCTGAATTGCAATTACATCACCATGGGGACACTGGAACAACTACAACTCTGAGGACTCTTCATTCAATGCCATGGTAACTTCAAAGACTGGTCACTAAATGAGGAATATGTGTGTGTGTGTGTGTGTGCGTGTGTGTGTGTCAATGTTGCTTCAACTAAGTACTAATGTATTGGAAATTCTTTTTGAAAAGTGAGGATCAGATAATTTTCCTGCCTCTCTCTTATTACATATCCAACCCAACATTGAAATACACAGAAAAATTGCCTGCTCATGCCTATGATGATATGTGTTTTCCTCAATCTCAGGTCCTCTACCAGAGGCCTCAGTGTTTGAGGGTTCTCTTTGGTCTCTTAGCTTTTCCCTAGCACTGAACCCTTCTGGACAGAGCACTCCGACTTCATTCCTGGGTTCTGTTGGAGTCACTCTTCCAGGTTAGTAGTCACAGTCCCAAATGTCTCTACCACCACTAGGGCCACTTTGACCTTTACTTTCCACATCCTCTCCAATTCTTCCTTCAGTCCTTGGTCCTTCTCCATACTCTTCCTTCCTGGTGTTGTTGTCACTTGGCACCGCTACATATATCACCATTGTGATCTTCTGGTGTTTATCTATTACTACAATGTTTGGTTGACTGGTTAATATCCACCTCTATCTGGTTCTGGCAGTCTTAGAGAATCTTGGCTCTATTATTCACTATAACCTTCTGGGGAATCTCTCATCTGGACTTGGGAAGTCTTGCCAATAATTACCTGACAGCCCTTTTTAAGGTGACCTGGCCCTTGTGGGGAAAGATAGGGCTCAGGACCACCAGCATACCATTGGGAAGAATATTATATCAATTTGGCAAAAACTGAGATCTTGTCAGATTTGGATTGAGATGCCTGCTGCATGGACTTATGGGGTTATCTGTAGTAAGTTTGACTCTGTGATTCCTGAGGAAGTTTACAGGGTTTTCACATCTGTTATCCTGGTCAGCTGCCTATTAGATTCATGTCTATCTTTGATGATTAAAGCCATACAGTAGGTAAATGATGGTTGGGTTCATGTAATGATGTTGGCTTTCTTCAGTGAAGAGGCAGCCCCTTTGGCCTTGGATGAGTCTGTAATGTACCATCTCTTCAAGAAGCTTTTACTAGACTAGATCCTGGAAATTTACTATGCTGTCTCCATTGACAGAAAAGGTAATAGTCTGCAAGGAATATTACAATACAATAGAATTGTATAATATTTATTACAATAAACATTGTAGTAAAGTGCAAGGATGAAGGTCAGTGAATAGAGAACCTGATGTGACTGGACAGCTCTGAACCAAGAGAGGCTAAATATAAATGCAAGAGAAGAGAAGAGAAAAATGTTTTCAAAAAGTAGGGAAAGCTTAGAATGTAATGGGTTCTAGAATTATTTCAACCTTTTTATTTATTATATTTACTTGCCATCAAATCAAACTTACCCGTGGTACTATGCTGTACAAATAAAATGCAAAACACAATAAAATCAAAATTTAACCTAAAATTGATAAAAACAAGAATTATTAACTGACTAATAGAACAGAAGCAATTATAGTCATGGCATTAACTCTAGTTTACACAGCAGGAAATTATAATTCAAAGGCCTCCTACCAAAGTTTATTGCATTCCAGAAAGATGGCAGCTTGATTTTGTTGTGAGGTTCTCCACAGTGTGGAGGCCATCATAAAGAAATGGTCTGTATCCCATAGAAAGTTACACCAGGTGGCTCTGGCCCTGAAAATGTCTGAAATGCAAGCTACACGTGGCTTTAAAGATCCAGTCTGCCAAATCCAGGAGTGAGGCAGGTAGCCAGGAGTGGAGACAGGTAACAAACTGCAGGTCTTTCAAGAGACCCTGCCATATTTTCCCATCTTAAGGCCTCCATGTATATAACTTATCATCTGACTGCAGGCCAAGTAAACTCTATGAGGGTCACTAATAGCCAAGTTAGTTCCCCTCCCAGGAACCCCAGTCAGCAAACTGGTCAGGGCTACTCCACATAGTTCCCTCTCTCAGTACATCACACATCCCTACAATCCTCCAACTAAATCCATCTACGTATATTTTTGTCTGTTACTTTTTGCTTTCTAACATCATTTTAATTTCTCCATCCAGGCTCCTTTTTAAAATGATTTTAATGACATGAAGCGAGGAAAACCTAAGTTCTCACCACTAGGAGAACCAATCTTGTCTCTAAAATACTCTTCACCCAGGATGTGGGAAGTAGAGGATCACAGTGCTGTCACTGGAGAAGGTATGCAGCAGCAATTAGTAAATCATGCACTTAGCCCAGGAAAAAATAAAGTGTGAAAGAAACTATTGCACTCTGAGTATCTTTGGCATAAAAACATGTCACATTTCAAGAGTTCTGGTATTTCTTACAGCATAGAACTAATACTAGCACAGTCCATTCTCTTGGTCACAAGAGAACTAATACCAGCACAGTCATCCACTTCCACACCGACTTAGTCTTCCAATGCTAATGGCAAGAGTAATGGCAAATCCAGTGGTGGTGCCTCTAATCTTAACTTGCCTCCAAACGGATTTAGTGGATAAGCAGGGATTAACACCAGAATTAATACCAGATCGACCCCACTCAAAGAACTACCAATTCACAAAAAAAATAAAACAGTACACTTGGTGACTCTTCTTAATCAGTATGAGTGTACATGTGCACTGGGAGGCATGGATTGGGTAGCATAGGTTCATATCAAAATGGAGTGAGAGAATTAACATGGTGCAGTTATCAACATTCTGAGCTGCTGTCCAATGGCCTTATTAAAACACATTAGGGAAAATTTTGGGATTTTTTCTCTCTGCAGGTCTAGCCTAATTGGCTCATATTTAAACTCCTTTTGCAAGCTCCCCTTCCACTACAAATCTGATCCCATTCTGTTGAACTTTCAGATAATTATCATCTCAGTGAGGTGACAAAGTCCCAATTTCCTTTACATAATTTAATTTCTCATATTCCATTGGTTGAAAGAGAATGAAAATGAGAACATGCACATAATTCTACAGTTATGAAGATCTGAAGAATTTATTTCTGGTTCTGTATCACAGCAGTGGGCTGTAAAGAAGATTTCATTTGGGAATATTTTAATGATGTTCTTATAGCTGTGAATGAGATAGTCAAGCAATGCAAATGATGTGGTAAAAATGTAGGTCTTCGTTGCTTGAACGAAGCTGTTATGAATATTGTGTCTGCTTTGAAGATGTTAAAAGAAGCATGTCTGAACATGCAAGTTGGATGTTGATAAATATTCTTATAACATTAATTACATTCTTTTTCTTCAGGAGGTCTCTAGTCTTTGGTTATAACTTTCAATCATAGTTTCTCAAGTTACTGTGTCTAGAATTGTTTTGTATGAACTTAAGTATATGTTATTAGATAATGGCAATTAATTCAGACATCAGGTATTTCTATTACTCTTACAATTCTTTCCATGGATGTAATTAGTCAAAAAAAGTAGGTACACTAACTGCATTAACCCCGTGAATTACCGTATTTGTCAGAGTATAAGATGTACTTTTTTGCCTCCTAAAAAAGGCTGAAAATTTGGGGTGTGCGCCCACCCGCCAGCCCCTACCCTTCGGCTTCTGCACATCCTCTTCCTGACTGCAGAGATTGCCACCGACAATGGCGTTTTTGGGCTCCGCACGTTGTGTTTTCAACCTCCAAATGCTTGACGTGCAATGCCCAAAATGGCTACCTGGAATAGCTGTGCCTTCTCTTACCCTTTCCCTGCTCTGCGTGCTTTAGTGTCTGGTACTCCCTCCGAGGATCAGCTGTGCTTTTGAAGCTGTTTTTCAGCCCAAACACAAGCTAAGAGATCTTCCGTGCTTTGCCTGCTTTTCTAATTGCTGCTCCTTCCAACAATCAGCTGTGCTTTAGAAGTACAGCCGCCATTATCCCCAACCTCAGTACCAGCGAGTGAACTAATGTGCTGAAGTTTATGCCCCATCATCCCCAACCTCAAAACCAGTGAGTGAACTAATGTGCTGAAGCTGATCAGGCTAAAGACTAGCCAGATGAATACCCGGTGGACAGAATCCCCCCCCCTATTTTCTTCCCCCAAACTAAGGTGCATCTTATACTCCAGTGCATCTTACACTCTGAAAAATATGGTATGTGAACCAATCCTCAAAATACAAAATCTTGATGCTTTCCATTTGTACCATCTTCCATATCATCAGCATCTACCATTTCAGAAGTATTTTATAGCAGTTTTCCTGACACATTATAAATGTATAT